AGCTCCTAGTTTATCTTTAACTTTGAAAAGCCTCTTATGCTTGCTGGGGCTTTGTACTTAGCCATTTTTATATCACAGTTAATACAACATAATTTCTTCAAGGTGGGCAGTAATGCAGTGATGATCAACCCAAGATGACAGTGTACCAACACAAGAAATAATAGAAGGAAGGCAGAATAGGAATGTCAAGAGAGTTTATAAAAATCTAAATGTCTCAAAAGCACAGTAGACAAAGAGATGTGTAGTATAAGGAGAGATAAATAAAGTGTCTGCGAAAAAATATAATGAGCAGAGTTAGCATGGGTTATGCGAAAACAATCATGTCTAACTAATCTATGCACTACTACAGAGAACTAACCGACCTGGTGGACAGGAAGAATTCAGCAAAAGTAATAGTTAGATTTTAGTAAAGCTATCGACACAATACCACAGAAGGGGATTGGTTCACAAGGTAGGAAGGTACATAATATTGGAGAGCTTCAGAAGTGGATCAAAAATTGGCTGAATCAGTGAAAACAAAGGACAGTTGTAAATGGAAGTGCATCAGCATGGACTGATGTGATTAGCAGGATGCCTCAGGGGATCAGTGTTAGGGCAGCTATTGTTTATATGTTACACAAATGATTTGGAAGTGGGAATTTAAACGAAGCTGTACTGATGGTACCAAACCCAGGGAAAAAAGTGTCGGTTGCAAATGACAAAGAACAAGCAGACACAAAGAGATTTGAAATGGTTTGAGGTTGGGCTGATAAAAGGCGATTTAATTTAATGCAGAAAAATGCAAAATTATGAGACTGAGGAAGAGGATTAAATAGTGGGAATGTAAACTAAAAGGCTGCAGACTACAGGACACAATACAGCACAACAGTGGATCTGATTGTACTGGTATACACTGTAGAAATCATCAGCGCAACACCCAACAGCAGTGAATAATAATAATTCTTCCAGGAAGTGAATGATGAATTTTATTTGGGTGCATCTGCCAGGACACTGGGAGAACAGTGGAGTCGTGTAACGTAGTAATCAGAGTAATTGGCTCACAAGCAAGAGGACCCGGATTCTATTCCCGGCAGGGCAAAACGTTGGGCAAGTTTCCCTACTCCACACGCCTCTGTCCACCTAGCAGTAAGTAGGAACCTGGTTGTTAGTCGATTGGCTGATCGTTTTTCTGGGGGTAATAATTCCTTCAAAAAATAATAATTTGGTCACTTAATTTATGACTATTTGTGGGATACTGCTGTGCACAATTGGCTGCCGCGTTTCGCCCACAAAATATACAGTCATAAAATCATAGAAATATATAGCACAGAAGGAGGCCATTCGGCCCATTCGTGTCTGTGCCAGCAATTCACTGTGAATTCTGTGAAGCACTTTGAGACATCTCAAAGATGTGATAAAGCGCTACATCAAACGCAAGAATTATTATTATTATTACAAATTCCAATCTCTTTTTGAAAAGTTCCATGGGATCTTTAACGTCACCTGGATAGCAGACAGGTTTAATGTCTCATCGCAAGAATGGCACCCCCTTAGGACTGTACTGGACTGTGCCTGGACTATGAGTTCAAAGTCCCAAAGTGAGGCATGAACTCACAACCTTAGGAGGTGAAAATGCTACCAACTGTGCCACGATGACACTTTATGTCATCATCATACTTACTTACTAATGCGGTTAAGATATCTGCACCTACACAAAATAGCATTTACTAGAAGTGCTCTCTGGAGAGGGTATAAAACTGTTTTGTTCTGCCTTTTGAGACTCTGGAATACCAATATTAAAAGTATTGTTTATTCCAATTACATAGGTACTGATGTTTGCTGAACATTTAGCTACCAGACGAGGTGGTAATGGATGCCAATGGCTGAAGAAAGATTTGATAGTGGAAAGGAATCACCTGCAGGCAACTTAAGTGTAGTCATTATTTTTTCATTGACATTTTTACCATGACAGCAAGAGAATAGACACTTCTACAGCTACAGTGTAGGAATCGATAATTTACAATATCATCGACATAGCTCAGTTACTCATTGTATAAATTGCCAAGGCCACGGAGAAAGCTCTTTTTAAAAAAAAGTCTATCTTTTTTGCACAACATTAGAGTCATGGAAATAATTAACCAAGAGATTTTTGAGGCAGACGGTGATTTATATTTTAAAAAAAGCTGAGTTAGTTAAGAGGAAATTACTCTGAATTATACTGACTGATGAGCAATCAGGAAGGGAAATGAAGTCATACACATGTATTCACACCCCAATCAGGCCAGACATTACTCAGTCAGCACTTTTAGAATGATTACCTGAGGAAATTACAAAGCAGCACAAACACACACATTAACTATACCGATTAGAGCACTCCAAGGAATTGTGATTTTCTTCATTAAGATGTATGTACGTACAATACAAAAACAACCAGCTCCAAACACGAGTGTTTGAAGAAAACATTGTATCTAATAGCTTCCATGGAATGAATGAATCTTTTGCTTCGTGTTAAAGCAAGGTTATTTTTACACAGATTTTTCAGTGGGATGGAGGAGGCGGGGGTGGGGAGGAAATGAAACCAAGGATACTTTTAAAAAAACACATCTCTATCCCTTCTCTATACTAATAAAAGAACAATGTCTGTCTGTGCTTCAAGAAGGATCTCAATAACCGAATGCTGTAGAGACATGATTTACACCTCATTGGAAATGACTTGCATCTGGGGGTGACATGGGCATATTTGTTTTTGGGTATCTCCTATCGTTCACGAGTTATGACCTAAAATGTATTTCAGTTTTGCACTGCAGTTACACCTGGTGACAACCGAGTCAAAGTGGTGCTGTGGCATCATGCGTCGCAGAGCATGTACATATGTACGCACGCGCCACAGTTACACCTGGTGGCCATGCTGGCTGACCATGGGGCTGTGATGTCCTGTGTCAGACAGCACACACGTAGCCAAGCGGCGGCGAGAACAAAATAAAGAACACAGATGAAGCTAAGCCGCGGCAACAACAACAAAATTACATTTTTAAAGTGCTTTTCATGTCGGGAGGATGTTCCAATGATTATAAATTATATTATCATTATATAAAGATGCCTAAGCGAAAATCAAACCTTTCAATGATAAGTAAAAATGCTAGACAAAATAAACAAGGCCCATTAAATGAAACTGAAGAACAAAGAACAGTGCGGCTGCACTTCAATGCTGAAAGGACTGCAAAGCGTGTCAAAATGAGTCCTCCCACAGGAGTCCTCTCAGATGAGTAGAGATAAAGATGAAATGTCCGTCTGTGTGTCAATCCACATTCCAAATTCAATCTTTTGGTTGCAAGCGTAGCTACAACGGGTACAGCTAGCATTTTATACAGCGCCTTTTAAACCCACATTAAATTAACAATAAAGAAACATTTAAAGTAACAAGAAAAGTACCGCTTTCTTGTTACATTAAAGTAACAAGAAAGCAAGAAAAGCCATTTGAATCAACATTCCTGTTCCTTTCATAATTATTGCAAATTACTTTCTTATGAACTCCCCCCCACCCCAGTCTAAATTATAACTTTACAGAAAAAATGAGGATCGAATTGTTGCAATCCACAAGGCAGTTTATAAACATTTCAATTTATCTGCAGTGATCTATAATCTTGAACCATAATCCAGAGGCTATGCTCTCATCAGATTCAGTGTATTCTGTGGTTTCAGCTTTTTATTTTTTGTTACTTAAGAGTGGTCACCTGGGTTAGTTTGCATCCCTCGATTCGGCTAGCTATGATGAAGGGTTATTTTTTCCCTTTCCCAATACAAGCTTAAGCACGTGGAAATCAATAGCTGCTCTTTTAAATGCTTTTACAGCAATTTTAACCATTATGCAGTAATCTGTTTTTTGCAAAACAAAAATTCCCAAGCGCCTATGTCCCTCACTCAAATGTGTGGTCGTATAGGCTCTTGGGAATCAATCAGCGACAATGCCCCTAACCTCTAGAACTTGCTGCCTCTATCTGACACCTTTCTCCATCTTTACCATTAAATCCCAGCTGAAAAGTCACCTCTTCAACTGCGCCTATAGTCACCTCCCCACTTTGCTCGGGGTCCAACACCACCATAGTACAGGGTTCTGAGACGTGATTCTATGTGAAGGGCGCTATATAAATGCAAGTTCTTATTCCAGTACTTTTATTCTCTCATTTTTGGTTTTACAATAAGAGATTAAAAGAAAAAATGCTGAAGGCTACGATGCTACATCGAAGCAGCCAAAATGCTCAATTTATTTTTTAAAAATGGTCATAATACGTATGATTTTAACTTTTACATAAAATCAAGATATATTAGAACCTGTTATAAGGCAGGAGTTGGGGAGAGGGGTTGCCCACAAAATTCCATCCCAACTTATAATAGGGGGTGATCAAGAGAAAATGTCACTCTAGCTTCCAGTGTTAAAAAATGGCTTACAGTTCATCAGCTCAGTACCAGCGTCACTTCCTGCATGCTACATACACACAGGAAGCTTGCTGGTACACGTGATAAAACCCAAAACTCTACAAGGCATCCGTCTTATAAGCAAATCAGTATTATAAGAGGAAAGCTTGTATCGGGGTGCTACTCTATAAATACATTTTATTTGAGGGACTGTTGCCGGTATACACCAGGAGAAATTCTTCTCCCTTTGAGGAATGCATGGGATTTTACTGACCACCTGAACAGGCAGACACGATATTGGTTTAATGTCTAATTTGAAGGACTATACGTCCAACAATGAACACTTTCCCCAGCGCTGCATTGGTATGTCCGCCGAGACAATGCATTCAAAGTCCAGTCAAGGGACAGGTACCCACCACCTCTGACTCAGTGTGCTATCAACTGAGCGAAGCTGAGTGATAGAGTCACACCCAGTCCAATTCAGGAATAATAATATTTCACTTCATAATCTGAGTCCCTTTAAGGCATTCAAGGTATACCTATGAAATCAGTAGATAAAGAATGATCATAAAAGAAAATCACAAATGGACCAAGTTGTCACTTACCTTCTCGGTGATCCATCTTCATGTGGCTGAATAATCACCACTTTTACTGTCACTGATGTTCGTAAAAGGTCAATCATCTGCTCATGAGTCAAGGTGGCTACAGCCACTTTGCAGATTTCAACAAGACGACTCCCCTGCCTCAGGCCTGCTTTCCACGCAAAGCCAAAGGGCTCAACATCAGCCACAATACCTTCAAAGTTCACATGGAACCCAAGCTGTCCGAGGCCATTCCTCCGCAATGTCATCTCGGTAGTTTCACAGCCTCTGGTCACCAGCTGGAGAAAAAGAGTGGTGTTAAATAAGGCTTTCTTTCATGTCATTTTTAGATGTGTGGATCAATCAGAGTCACTTAATCTACCTCAATTGCAATCTTAAAAGGCATCAATAATGCACATGGTCATAAATTGATAAAATGCAGTGCGATAATCATTAACATCATCTCTAACTCAGAAAAGGCCTCTGAACGATATGAGATAGGCTTGCCTTCTATACACAACAAAGTACCTTTGTAGCTAACAACTGTTCTTTCTCAAATTTCCATTTTATCCACAGGCAAGTGCATTTATATGTTTCAAGAATACAAACAGCCGTCGCGACATCTGCTTCAAAGGCAATAAGCATTATAGATTCTGAATGGATGATTGATCACAGGTGTCTTAATTTTCATAAGCCTCTCTGACAGCATTTTTGAACAGGCGACTATCTGAGCTGCTCACAACATTTACAATGCATCTAAAGGGACTAGTTAAAGGCAACGTAAAGTTGGTAAGTCATTGAGCTACTATGGTTTACACCCAGGAATTCTGATGGTGGTTTGTGATGAAAGAGGCATTGACCACAATATTCCAAAATTATTTGGAAAAACAAACTGTACTAACAGACTGGATGGTGGTAAATGTTGAATCTCTGTTCAAAAAAATACAAATTGGGTGAAGAATACTGCTCTCAGACACTATCCCGCGTGAAGGTCGCTATATAAATGCAAGTTGTTGTTGATTTCATGCAGACCAACTTTAAACAGCATTTGATATGGTGATACATATGGTGAAGATTAAAATTAGAGTGGCAGTATAATAATAATCCTTTCATTTGATATACCACTTTATCATGTTAAAACGTCTCCAAGCACTTCAGAGGTTTCTGAAAAGCATAGTGAAGGGTATGAATAGAGGGTCAGATGAAAGAGACAGCAGAGTGTAGGAGTAAACAGATGTTTTTCCATTTGGCATGATGGCACGATGTAGCCTGTGGCATGCCCCAACAGTCTTTGTTGAGGATCTTTTAACTGTGAATGAACAGAGGTTTCCACAATTACTTTAGCTACTTGCAATAACAACAACAACTTGCATTTATATAGTGCCTTCACGCGGGCTAGCGTTCTGGAATGCTTGCAATAATTCTCCAGCAATCACCAGAATCTCGGGGTTTCACACCAACTAAACACGTTTCTTCTCTGTATAACAAGTGTCAAACATTCCATTCTCTTTCATTTGATGTCGAGCTTTATTTGTTTCAATTTGTAACTGTGACATTAATTGAGCAACAGAAAACTTGTAGACTAAAAGCAGCTGAGATGAAATGTTTAGAAAGTTAGTACTAAGAAGACTAATAGTTTTAGTAACAAACAACAACAAAATTACATTTGTACAGCGCCTTTCACGTCGGGAGGACGTCCCAAGGCGCTGGACAGAGTTACGGACCTGAGTTGAGGGTCGTGGTGTGGGTGGTAGGGCAGGGAGGGAAGCAGTTGGGGAAGCCAGCAAGGAGGGAATTTCTGTTGCCGAGCTTTGAGGTGACGAATGAGTGTATGAGGACAAGGAACAGTTCAAGAATTAAAGGACAGAAAAATTATTTATAGATGCTATAAATCAAGATGCACAACAACAAGGTGAGGATTGATGTTTGGATGTGGGTAGCAGCAAGTAATTAAACAGACAGGCACCAAACATTCGGGTCAAAGCTTCCTTTACAGCACATTGGACTAACCTGAGAAGTCTATTTTCAATGCATCAATGAAACCAAATCTGTAAGTGAGTAAGTAAATCAACACTCACCATCATTAAAATTTAAGACGAATACCACACTTTAATTCTTAAACCCAATTTGATTTGATTTATAGTTAAATCGCAAGGGATAACCAATAAACAAGATTTTTATGGAGTCAGAATCTGCTTTTATGGGAGACAAAGCCCACATCATGTCACTCAATGCATCTCAAGGATGGATTGTGGCTAAATACCCATTCAACCTTAAAAACAGAACTGTCTACAGAACTGTTTTTAAGGTTGAATCCCACGTGCACAATGAAAATCTTTGAAAACAGAGAGAAATAGAGAAGTAAGAGAATTTGAAAAAAAATCACGTTTCAATAGTTAAATTGATTGCTGTTTAGAGAAGTATATTTAAATAAAACTTGTCAGTCTCAGGGTGGTGTTAGTGGAATATTTGCACAATGATAAAATCTTAATATCTTAATTGAGGAGATAAATTCATAAATTAATCACAAATATGGCTGCTGGGGTTTTAAACCTCTTTATTTTTTTCAGAGTACTTTGTACTAATTCTCTAACCAGTGACATCGGCAAAAGCTGCTGTGTAACTCCTGTGGTTGCTGGAGAAATTATAAGAGTGGCATTCTTTTTATTTGAACAAAGTGTTCCCAGCAGGATGCTGCTTGACTTGCCACAGATATAGTTGATCTAAGAAGAGCAAGTCCATTTCAAAAGAAATGCCACTTAGTTGGTCCCTATTAAGCAGCATGCCACAACAGCTAAGGTTGGATTTGAAACAAATGCTGTGTTGCGTAGTGGTGCTCTGAGAAATTCACATCCCCTTCACCCCTTTTAGGTTTCTATGCCGCATGTTACTCAACCAAAGAGAGTGTGAGAAAGAGAAAAAAAGAGTTGATTCTGCTCTTGAGCCACCTGCTAAGAGATGAGCATGAGGAGCCCAGAATGACTCTTCTGCAAATTCCACAAGTACATCTCCAGCCTCTCTCTATCCCTTTCCCCCAAAGCCTGCCTGAGTGCAGACTCCCAGCACAGAGAAAATGCAGGCACAAACTTGCACTCTGTAGCTCCATGAAATAATGTGTTTGTGCACCATCAAGGGAGCCATGCTGTTCAATTTTACAGGAGATGGGGCGTAATTTTTAAAATTGGTATACTTACTGGAAATGCTAGAGAAACAAATAGTCTCCTCCATCACCAAAACAGCCTGTCTCTGATCTCTAATTGGGTCCTCCATCACAAGCACAGCTTGTCCCACTCTCCAGCTTTCAATGTGCTGTGGTGGCTGTGCAACTTACCCAGCTTAAAGCAACGCATACACTTGTGAAGGCAGAGACACACTAACCGTACAATACCAGACACTTATCAGTTGCACTATTCCTTTCATTGTAGTACTTTAGTAACTTGTGAACACAAATACTTTCATTTTAATTCACTTCAGCTTTATTGAGGTTTTAAGACTGCGTCGGCTTTTGTGTTGACTGGAGAGCCTCAGATACAGGAGCAACTTCCACTAAACCGGATTCCTTACTGTAAAATTCAATAGTTTGAAGCTCTGTCACAAGAAGGGTCTGTCTACATTACTCTCAGCACTATTTTCCATCTAAATATAGACACAGGAATCTGTCTCAAACACTGTATTATTTAAAAAAGAAACAGATTTCCCACAATTATATATAACTCAAACAGCCTGTATTAAAGAAATTTTCATACATACTTTTGTCAACATAGATATTACATTTCTACATTAATAATGGTGAAGAAACATTGAAACAGTTGCTGACAACTGGAAAGTCTTAGAAACCACACTATGCTACACAGCTCTACAGGATACAACTTGTAGTAAAACACAGAATAATCATCAACCTCAATTGGAAACATAGCAATGGAATGACTAATATGTGTGAAACAAAATCTTACAGGCATTCAGTTTCAGGTGTCTTGTTCAACCTAAGTTATGCTACGCGGGCCAGCAAAGGAACTGCTTCGAGGAGTCCGTCTAAAAGAGTGCTCCTTTTACTGTTGTATTCCACATAGCCCATCCAGCTTACTCTTCACTGAATGTTTACCACTATGGCTGGTATGAACCCAGCCATAAAGATATTCAATTACTGAACTGGTTTTGAAAACAATAGTACAAAAGAAGCCATGAAATTCAAAATTACACGACAAACAAAAATATAATACCATTTGGATTTATGTAGGGACTTTCATGTCAGAAAAATGTTTCCAAGCTGAATGCTGAATGGGCATCCGAGCGAGGGTAGGGCTGGGGCGGGGGGATATAAAATAAGATATTCATGCTAAAAGCCACATACCGCTGCTGCAGTGTACGATAACTCATGTGAGATGTGAGAGAATGGCAGAAGATAACTCATGCGCTCATGTTTCCCTCTTTTTTTTAGTCCCAAACTTCTGCGTGGCATTTCCCTGAACAGCACAATTAAGGAGGCTCCTGGCATCTGGCATACCCACAGATTACCATTCTATGGTACAACACCCGGCAGCACCATCTGCCCGTTTTTTCTGAATATTTCCAACTTGCTCTGATTCCATTCACAAACCATCCTATGTTTCAACACCTTCCAAAACGAGTACGACAGGATAATTCCAACAACTTGCATATACTGGACTAAGCGGTTACCAATGGAGCGATGGGTGGGCACAGAAAAGGAGGAGAATGGAAGAATGGTAAGGTGACTGAAGGCTCGGCTTTCAACATGGAGCAGGCCACAAATGTGGGAGTGAAGCACCAACAGCAATCCAGTCAGGAGAGCAGAGAATGCAAAATGGAAAAGATTACACAGATCGGATGGAGTTTGTTCATGGGGGGATTCGAAAAAGATGAAAAGGATCTTGAAATCAATCCCTTGGGGAAAGAGTATCAGTTGAGCTTGGCAAAAATAGGGATGATAGCAGTGTGAGACTGGATGAGTCTCTGGATGAGTTTGCAAAAAAAAAATCCTTCCTTGAGATGATTAAACAAGGAAGAAGGATTTCATCTGTGGTGGTGGTGGTGGTGATGGTGAGATAAGGGCATACAGAGACAATCTTCCAAAAGTGGAAAAAGTCAGGTTTGGCAATGGATTTGATGTGGGGATCAAAGAGAATCCTGAGCTTGTGCTCCATCAGATTCACTATGAACAACTGTGGAGGTTAAAGGAGCCAGGAGCAGGTAGGTGAGAGATGAACAAGGTGACTTCAGTCTTGGAGCTGTAGGAAGCTTCAGCTTCAGCTCATCCTGAGATTGAAACCAGATAGGCAGT